CGGCAGAGTGGGAATTTTGCTCTTCTGTGTATCATTTATCCAGTAAATTACATTCTGGGAAGTCCACCACATTGCCTCGATGTTCATCCCATCAGCCTCCATCATTTTACCTAAAGGGCCCAGTCCTGGTGAATCTTCATTGACACCAACTGCTTCCTTAAAGATTCTTTGCACTCTAGAAAACCAGACCTATTTTCTGAAGCAATAGAAAATGTTTTTTGGTTTTTTTTCTAGCACAAGCATCCTATCAGATAGTCATCCAATAACCCAAGAACATAGCTTGTAAAATATCAACTGCTCAAACGCTAGCTTCAATGGCAGGGTGTTGGGCACTAGATCCAAAGATGATGTAGTGTGAAGGGTCTGTTGGACTTGGGAGCTTCTGGAAATCCTCCCACACAAACAAATGGTCTGAGCATGGCTAGATCCAAACTGGAGGCCACAGTCCCCGTCTTCCTTTATCTCTCTGGAAGGAAGCCAGCACTATTGTTTGCCCATGACACGTCACTATCCCACCTTGGCTATCCGGTTTTCTCAGGGTACCTGTTAATTCTTGGCAGTGGTGTGAGTGAGCAAACGGAGAGGGGCACAGAGGAACCCACACCCTCAATGCACACACACATGGCCAGCCTTCCCCAGAGATTAGAGACTCGCAAGCTGAAGTGAGCAGCAAATTTCCCCTTTTGGGCTGCAATTTTATACCCAGTGATTCATGCATTAACTTTCCCTGTCTGGCAACCCGAGTTTTTTATGGTGGTACCACAGTCCTTACTATCTGTAACTTACCATTTCAGTGGGTCTTCTCCAGCTACCACTACACAGACTTTGACTCTGAGCCCTCAGAAATAGCTGCAAGAACTGTCCTGGGGAGGAAGACATGACTTGTGCTGGAAAGCACTTTGGAATTTGCATGGGGTATTCCTCCTTCCAAAAACGAGAGAGTTTTGCTGATATTTTTAAATGAAATACTTAAAATTAAGAGCAAGTAGAGATTACATTTGTGCCTCCCATTTTCAAGACCATAGATATTTTAGGTTATAGAGAGTCAAGAACCCCTGGAAAATTATACATTGGCACTAGAAGACAAATTTTTCCCCACAGTCCTGAGAGAATATAAACATCATACCCCTAGCTCACAGTCCACAATAATCAGCTTAGAACCGGAGCTACACTAAGATTAGCAGGTAACGAACTGAAGCAACAGGGTACAAGTTTCTTCTGCCTCAGCGCTCTAACCCCTTTGCCAGGGAGATGGCTCCTGTCTTAACCTGCTGCAAGCTGTTGCCTCCAGGAAGGCAAAGTGAATCTCTAGATCTCTCTTCGAAACTATTCCAGCTTGAAATCAGTATTTACCCTTGTGTCCTTGTCTTACCAAGGCCAATCCTTTCTGTAGAATTCAGAAGAGAAGTATTGGCCTGGCCCATCCTGGCTCAACTACATTTGCCATTTGCGTGGCTCTATGCAAAGCAGTGATCATTACCCAAGAGCTGTGATGGAACAGCTCTTCTGTGGAACCAAAACGTGCTAACAGCTATCGGTTATCAACCCAAGCAGAGCGGAAGAGGGATGCAATGACTCAGAGCCACTAAAGACGACAGTGTCTTGGTCAACGCAACGCAATTTTACACCACATGATCTGCGGTGCAGGGGTGCTGCTCACTCAGGTGTTCGGGAACCTTTCTCTGCCTCAAGATTGTTCTATTTTCTGCAGTTAAACATTAACCAGAACACAATTGCCCATCAGATGTGGCTATATGCTCCCTAGTAAGGTGGTGCTTGCCGAATGCTCCCCTATTAAATGGTTTCCATGCCAAACCCTGACCTCAACTGGCCCAGCCTAGGCCGAGAATGTAAAAGTAAGCTTGCTTTTCCTCATAGCAAAGAGCCTTCCTTCAGCCAAAGTCCTTTTGAAAAGAACTGGTCCAAATCCTGCAACTGGTGCTCAGCCCCTTGTATCTGTTGGTGTCCATTTCCTTGCTCATCCTTAGATGCCACCAGAAGTTCTTCTGGGGGAGTAACTTCAGGGAGCTAAAAGTCTCCAGTCTTTCTATGTACAGAACTATCAGCAGGTCCATAAAAGTGTAGATTTTTCTTTGGCCATGATGATATCACAGAGTAGAGAAGTGCCTTATGGAGGGTTAATGAGGAGCACATAATAAAATGTCATATGATTTGTTTTTGGATCAGGGAAAGTTCTCTTGTAATATTATCAGAAATTTAAGCAATCTTCTACCAGTTACAAGTCAGGACATTTAACCTCACATATACAGCTTTGGGTCTTTGCATTGGTCTCTTAAGCAGCCTGTACATTTTTTGATGATTCTGCCTCCTTCTTTTGCTTTTCCAAAGCATGAGGCCCCCCTGTGTTATCTCACGCACAGGGTTTGGCCCTTCTCTCTTCCCCTGGGAGCTCCATACCAGAGAGCAGAATGGACATACCTTTGCAACGTGTCATTTTGCAAACACGATTTTGGCAGAGCCTGTTTCCTCCTACACAGTGTTAACCTTCTCCACAGGCACATGGGACAAGCAAGAGTGAGACAGATGGGGACCTCTCTGTTTTGCACTTTGGCAGAATCTTCCTTCCAGTAGCTTCTTTACGCCTGTATCTCCTTCTAACAAGGTCCTCAATGTTTTAGCACTCCACTGGGTCACTAAAACTGTTTTTCATCTGCCATCTGCACACATGAAAAAAATTCTCACTCTGGGAATAATAAGTCATGGCTCAGGACTGGAGTATGAAAGCGACATGTCATGCATGTGGAAAAAAATGCTGGAAATGAAGACCTGAACAGGAACATCTTGGACCATGTCCTGTTAATGAAAGTCAGCCATTCTGATTTCCACCAGCACTGAGTTAAACTGCTTGGAAATAATATTTTCTGCTCTGTAATTGCATGACATGGCCAGACTTGGAGGAAAACAAAAGTGCCTATAGCTCAGCACTAAATGAGCTTCTGTTTTGTGAAAAAAATGATTTTTTTTCCCTTTGGCGCCAATTGTTCTAAATTGCTTTACAAATATTTCTACAGACTCGGTGTCCTTTAAAGCTCACCAGGATTGTTACTTTTTCACCGTGAAAATAAAAAAGAGTTGGGAATAGTGGAACACCAGCCATGAGATATTTTCAAAATTCCTTACATTACAGGTCTCTCAGCCCAAAAAGGTCTGAGATCTGTGAATACTCTGAGTTTGATCCCACTTCGATATCTGGAGAGATTTATCCAAGGAGCTGATCCATACTCAGCTCCAGTTGTTGTGGGTTGCATGAAAAATTAAGAGAATAGCATGAAAAACTTAGTGGAAAAAGAACTTGGATGGTTCCTGCCTGAGTAAGATTGTGGACTCTCCGTTCTTGGAGATATCCAAAACCTTTTTTTGACATGGTCTTTGACAACGTCTCCTAGCTGACCTGCTTTGAGCAGCATGGTCAAAGACCTAAACTAGAGCACCTCCTGAGGTCCTTCCATACTCATTCTTTCCCACATATCTCTGGCATGATCTTCATGTCATGATCTTCATTCTTATAAAAGAAATAGTCTAGTGACCATTTTCCTCTGCCTCAAAAAGAGGGAGTAGATTTGATATGCTTGTGCCATAGATGAACACTGGAGACAGGAAGGACTGATGGTCAAAGCCCTATTTCCCAAGGAAATGAAAAGAAATCTGATTTCTGAATTTCTCCAAAGATCTAGGTCTAAGTAGACTTGTGCCTGAAAGCACACAGGAAACCAGTAGTGTGAGACTGAGAAGAGAGGCCTATGTGAAGGGCAAATGCCTTCTCTAAACCAACAACCTCAACTCCACAGGCTTCATCTCACTGTAGCAGTGCCTTGGCTCCCAAAGGAAGAGGCACCTGGTTGACAATCGTATCTGAACCTCTCTCTGGAAAACGATGTTCCCTTGGCCAACTGCAAGCAGATCGATGCAAATGTCAGGCAGGAATAGTTGGGGCTGAGAAGACACGATGTGTCTTCAGTTAGCCCACAATCAGTGGCATCATTTTTGGATGGGGACAACTTCATTTTACCCTTGCAGAAACAGTTTGACTTTTCTTAATGAGGAGCTATGATATCGCAATATGTATCCCTGTATGCATTTCTAAACTTCTTACAAAGGAGGGATCATCCTGTTTCTGCTCACGTGTGCTGACATCTGAGTGGGCTGAGCTGGAGGGAAGTAACGAACAGAACCAGAATGAGAAACTCCTCCTTGACTGGGCGTCCTGAATGTCCTGCCATGATGTGATATGTCAACCTCTGATAGTGGGAGACGTAGAGCCCTTTTTTACCATCTGCCATCACTTCTGAGCTGTCAGCTACAGCCTTTCCCAGCAAAGAGGAGAGCTTTCTGCTGTGGGAGGTGGCGACAGCAAACATTGCCAATCTGGCTGGGATTTTCTGGTTTATCATTATTTTTCTCCTGGGAGGGCAGCCCAATTGCATGCTCTAATACTCTGCTATGTGCTCATTCTGGCCAGTAATCTTCCCAGCAATCCTCACCCCTGCTCCACGTTTCCCTGCTGCACAGAAGGCTCCAGCCTGCGGGCACGGGGACGCTGGAGGGAACACGGGAATAGGTTGTCTCCCTTGGGACAAACTGCGTTTCAGCAGCTGACTGCTAGGTCTTCTCCTTGCAAAGTCAGTACCTGGAGCTGGGAACGCCTGGGCCCAACTTTTAATGCAACTCTGAAAATCATAGCACCTCATTTTGCGCAAGAGAGCAAAGAAAAGGGGGGGAAAAGGGAGAAAAACCACTCCAAACGGAGTATTTGGAGAGTCTAAATTCCTACTACTTGCTGCTCCATGAACTGGGAGTTGGTGGCTGTTGGATGCAAAGATTAAATTTGTCGAAACTCCTGTTCCTGCTCCCTCTTTGTCGCTCCGCGAGCCGGGGAATGGGTGTGATCTTGGAGGAGGAGTGTCCCTGCGGTTAAGCAGAGGATTGAATTACCCAGCGCTGCTGTTCCCGAGCTGACAAGGTAGCAGAACAGCAAACAAAAGTGCCTTGAAACTAGCTCGCCAAAGCGGAGAGAGGGCTGTGAGCTGAGCGGCAGGAGGAGGGACCTGCGGGAACCCTGCGCACTTTCCCCCAAGGTAAGCAGCTTCACCGCAACCCTCTCCGCTTTATTTCTGAGGGCCATAACTTCTTTATGTCTAATTTTATTCTGTGAGATATATAAAAAGTTTTAATAGAAAAGAAACCACCAGGATCTCTGCACCAAAAAGAATGAGGCCATCTTGATTTCATGGTATCTAGGACTGTACTTGGATTTGGAATAAGTGGATATCTCAGATCTCTGAAAATCTGGCCAGTCTACATATCAGCCTACACTGCTCCAAGGACACATGCTTCTCGTTTAGTTCTCTGCAGAGAATGGCTTTGATTTCACGCAACCAGCAAGGCGTTGGGTTTTCACCCGGTTTGTTTTATGCTTTGCTGCCATGGGGATATCTGCTTGGAGCTTGAATGCTTTTGCAATGTGGTCATGTTCAGACAGCAAAAAAAAAGTCATTGGAAGTTCTTATGGACAGATCTAGTCGATAAATCTGCTAATGGCTGAACTGCACTGTTTTGCTCTGTAAGTGCAGGGTGTTTTCTTGTCCTGTTCATTTGAGATGCAAATTGCACTAAGAGAAAATTGAGTTGCAATGGAGTTAAGCTGGAGACTTTCCTAGCAGTGTTTTTCTTAGGCGTGTCTATTAAGAGCATAAATATTTAACTCAAAGGAGAAGAGATATGAATTAGCATCTGCAGGAGGTTCGCATTTGTTCAGGGCTGCCCTTGCGCAGATGCAAACAAGCATTACAGCTGCTAGAGCAAACTGGCCCCACAGGAGTCACACTTAGGTGGTGAATCACCCAGGTGCTCTTTACACACGGCAGCTAACTGGGGAGATTAGAGCCCGCGAGGCAGAGATTAGAGAATCGGAGTGCATCCGCCTTCCTCTTCAGCAGGGTTGTACAAGAGCCTCTTGCACGGGCTCAGTGCAACGTGACTGCTGGTCGCTTGCAAGACGCAAGGACGGGCTGCAGCTAGTAGAGTGCGGATCAAGGAAGCGCTGCTTGTTCCCCCAGGTTGCTCTGCCCGAGCCAGGTGAGCTCCCCCCGCTCCCTGCACAAACAAGCTGCCCTTTTCCTGCTCTGGCTCCCTTCCCTCCGGCAGCAGTGTAGGTCTCATGACGTTGTTTGCCAGGTCTTTGTGGCAACAGTTGCCAAGGTCTCCCAGCAAGCAAAGATTTCATTCCATGACTGCGAATGGGATCGTCTCAGTCTTTTGCCTTCCCGGGATCTTGGGACTCCTGCTCTTGAATGGTCAAGGAGGTCAAGGAGGATGAACTGGCACATGTGGAAACTCTCTGTGACTTTCCTGATTTCGGATTTGTTTTCATGGCGGCATGGATCCATCCTGGAGTCTATCCCTCCTGCACTGCCCTTACGGTGCTGTTCATCCCCAGCCAGGGAAGTGATCAACATCTGCCTCGTGCTTGGAAGGGAAATGTGCTGTTGGCCGGGTTAAGATGCTACTGTTTCCAAAATGCTCAGCTCCCTAGCATACAAATCCTGATGGACCAAAAACCTTTGCTTTTGATGGAGCTTCACATACCTTTTTTTGATCCAGATCTCTTTGCAACAAAGGGCAGTGTGAAGCACAGTGAAAGCATTTTTGCTACCTAACCAAGCTTTTTTTAGTTTCTCCTAGAAAATGAGTATGTCATAAATAGTCCTCCTTGAGGTCTTCTGTTCATCATAGAGCTCTCTTGCTTTTTCAGCCTTCTGAAATGTGTTCTGTGTGGCTGAACCAAAAAAAAATCCTGAGTTTTACAGTCTGCTCTTGGAGCTGCTCTGCTATATATGAAAATCCAACAATTAAAGGAAGCAAATACTTTTATATGGATAGCCCATACCTAAAATATCTGTACTACAGTTCTTTGTTTATTCACATCTATTCTTCAGCTTCTGTAGGCCTCTCAGGCAAATATACATTGCACAGTCACGTGGGGATATGTGTACCTAAGACTCATTAAAATTTCTCTTGTCATGTTTTCCCTTTCCACATAATACTACCCTGGAAATGGGCCCGATTACAATTTATCTTGCCTGACTATGTCTTTCCACTTACTATTTTTCGTGTAAAAGGAATGCAGGAGGGGGTGAATATTGTCTGTAACTCTTTGACAACCTCCTGACTGAAATGTCCTCTCAGAGGTATTGTTAATTTTCAACATAGAATGTTGTGCATTTACTCCAGTTGCCTGGATTTCCAAAGACCTTTGCTTGAAACAGAAATCCTACCTTTATTTTTTTTTCCATTCTTATCTAAGCTATTCATGTTTATCAGGTGCTGTGCTTGGTAGAGTAACAGTGAAACTCATTATTTCTCTATGGCCATGTCAAAGACACAAGACATAGGGGATGCTAAATTGCATGGTTGAGCTCTGTTCTAGGCAGTTCCTGTGGAATGAGCTATTCAGAGCAGCTGACCTCTCCCGCCTAAAAATGTCCTGTTGCTGTGCCCTGGAAAGGAAGAACAGGTTTCTGGATGATCCTTTATATAAAACCACTCTTTCAAAAGCAGCAAAACAAGGTAGGAAGCAGGCAGAAATCATATTATATTTTGGGTGGATGAGAGTATAGAAATATCCACCTTCTCTTTGGGACAGTGGTTTATTATTGTATATTTTTTCTGTCTACAAAATAGCTGCTTTAGTTTGAACAAAGCCAACCCTCCTGAATCTTTCAGATGTCTGATACCCTCCTCTGTTCTCAGACAAAGCCCCTGTTGGGCAACAGGAAGTCCTGGAGGAAAATTTTTTTCTTAAGGCTCCTTTAGACAATGTGAAAAGCCCTCTTTGGGATTTTTTTCTTTAACTTATGTCTCAGGTCAACAATTGCAGTGCAGCCTGTCCCTTTTGTGGGCTAATATTCACCAAATGTTTAACCATGACCTCCTGATGGAGGCATCCTCTTTTCCCAGGTGATTTGCCATCTACATGCACTACCTGGGCTGTTCAGTGTGAAGGAAGGTGAGCTTGAGTGTGCCCAGTCAACATGCTGCAATATCAGGAGGGCTGAGCAAGGTCATTTAGTGAGAGTTTTGTTTGCACTCTTTGCAGCAGGCATATTTTGTTCGTTTGGTCTTATGCAGTTAGCTTGCTAGCCGTTCAGAACTGCCTTTATTTTGCGAGATGGGATTGCCCAGTTTCCTGTTGCATTTACATAGCGGGTCCTGCATGGGCTGTGTTTCCCTTTTTACGCCAAACAAATGTCAGTGAGCAGACACAGGTGGACAGCCCCGTGGGCTGGACCTTTGCTTCGTGCCCTGCAGCGTCTGTCAAGATCATTGCCCAGGAGTACAGAGCACACAAGCTCACAAATTTGTGATGCACCAGTACCATCCATCACACAGCTGGTGGGATCACAAGGTCCAAGCTAAGCATCTTCACTGGCCTGTATCCATCTGCCCCTTGCTTCCGTAATCCATCCCATTTACCTCTTTTCTCCCAACCTCCTTCTTACCATCACAGAGAAGAGCCACCAACAGATCATCTCAGGAAAGGACACAAGCAGGTGTTGGGATAGTGGGAAGACACCTCCTCAAGGAGCAGTGAGCTAAAGTGGGGTGATACAGGTACTGACAATTCACCAAGGAAAACCAAGCATGATCTCCCAACCCACTCTGTATTTCCAGACTTAACAACTCTAGTAAGAGAACTCACATAGTGGTTCAGCACCATCCTCTGAATGTGGATGCCTACATTGGATCAGTTGGTATCTCCTTGCCTCGGTACAAGCAAGATGTTCGTGCCCAATAATACAAATGTCCATAAGACAAAGCACAAGCTTTCCTGTGCAGCTGAAGACGTGAAGCTGCCTCCTGAATAGAGCCTCCTGCTTTGTGCCATGCCAGCCAAGAAAATGCAAAAGTACCTACAGAGAGTCCCACTTGGGTACAGGTCATTTCTTTTGCAATCCAAAAACTAGACCTGTTTAATCCAGAAGTCTTGGGTCCTCCGGTCCTAGTTTGACGTCTTGCTTGCAGGTCTAAACTGGAACAAGACTGGAACGGTCCCTTCCATTTGATAGTTAATATTAATCTTGCCACTTGCAAGCTAATGCTCTGGGAACCAGTTCTTCAGCTGGTCTGAATGGAACCACAACAGCCTCCTCTTCTGCAATGCAGTCAGGCAAATCTCCTGATAACAGAGACTTAATCAACAGCACTTTCATATAATGCAGCAGGGAAAACCTGCTTTCTATCTCATGCACACACACATATATGTGTTCATTCACCTATATGCACATATACACAATGAATAAAAAAATCTTATAGGCAGCAAGCAAGGATCATAACTCTTGGGCCAGCTTTTCAAAGGGGATGGTGCAGATGAGCACTAATGCTCACTGTCTGAAAAATGACTCTTAATTTCACAGATAATTACCAATAAGAATGTAAAAACATGCAAGCAAGATCTTTGGGCACAACAGATGGGGCTGGGCCACCATAAGAGAGATGAGGGACAAAGGGAAGGCTAGGCCAAGGCCCAAGTCTGGGCCATAAGCCAAGGTTTTCCTTATGAGACTGAGGTGTCATTGCATCCCACCTGGCTGATATTCAGCAGACTTGCCTTCAATTCTGCGAAAGGGTGGGAGGAGCTACCCTGGAAGAGTCTTCTTCAGACTTAAGTACCTGAGATATCAGACTGAGAGTGGATGAATCCTTGACCTCTTATCTAGTCTTTCTCCAAAGGGATGTAGTTATCCTGCTTTGGCCAGCTTTGTCTGACTCTCTATAAGAAGCAGTGGCCTGATTGTTTTTCCCCCAAGATCTAGATTTTTTTATTTTTATGCATCTTCAAAAGATGAGTGTCAGCTGTCAGCTGAATAAGAACCAGGTCCTCCATTTCAGGTGGGAAAATACCTGTATTGAGGGCCTCAGCTGCTGTACCCTCCCTGTAAACCTCTGCCATTCGGGTGCTGAGGCTGAGGAAACTCTTGTACGCATGACCAAACTTACATGCCCTTTTCCTGGTTATGTCAGCACTAGGTTGTTCTTCCCCACAGCCAGTAGGTTAAATAATACTCTATTCAAATGC